CACTACTCCCACTTATTTCTTGTCTCCCACTCCTGCAGTGTGTTTGTTTTTCCATCAAATTGAATTAGCAGAATCAAAAGGTATCCAGAACATCCCCTCACAAAGTTGAGTTAGGGAGAAGGAGACGTGGAAGATGAAAGGAAGTGCAGCGCAGTTCAAATGCAGGTCTTGTAGTGTGTGCGGTTGACCTTTGCCTGGTCCTAGCTTGAACAGCATCCCTCCTTCCTCAGAGCCTTAGAAGGATATTAAAGCTGTGGGACAGGACAAAATTGTAGACAATATAAGCATGCAGCATGAATCCATGCTTTTGTTTGCCATGAAGAACAAAAGAGAAGCATGGACTCTAAAAACTCTTCAGATGGTCGAAGATCCTACTCCCATATTTCTCCAGTTTTAGCTTCTCTCCATTGAGTTCCTRTAAAATCCAGAATAGAATTAAACATTTTACTTTCTCACATACAAAGCTCTCAACAAGCAAGCTCTGTTWTTATGCAAAACCGATTTTTCTGAGCCTTACGTCACGTTAAAATGTTATTCCCTGATCAAAAACGTAACCAGAGTAATGCTTTGACTCAACGGTTCTCAGTATCCTGCATGTTTTAGTTGTTTCCCTGCTCTTCGGTAAGTCTTTAAGTTCTGCAGAAACATGCTAATCACTTATTCATTTAAATCAGGTGTGCCAAAGTAGGAAAACAACTAAAACGTGCAGGACAGTTGGTCATGAGGACCGGYATTGAGAAYCACTGCTTATGAATCTCTTGTGGTAGCCATGTGGAGCTGCTTAAATGCACCGCCTAAGCTCTTCCCTGTCGCTCCCTCCCCGCAGAGCTCCCCTCCCTCAAAGCATTGTTGTGAAGACATATTGAAGTGGAAGTGATTAAAATGGTAGAAGAGGGCAATTTCAATGTGTTTAGATATAAAGTCAATTTTATTTTTGATAAATATAGCATTTTCAAAACAACTGGAGGTAACATTGATCATGGTATAGAATTGAATTATGTGCCTGGAAAATACATAATTCCCACCTTAAAATTTTTTTAAAAATTTGTTTCATATTTTCCAAAATGAGCACTTCACTCTAGAGGTGTGATATTTGCAAATGATCTGAATTGTTCAAACCAGTGGTTCCCAAAGTTGTGGTCGGGACCCTTTTGTGGGTCAGAAAACATAAAGTGAGGGTCCCCAGATGATTTATAGACATCAATTTACAGTTGTGGTCAAAAGTTTACATACACTTGTAAAAAAACATAATGTTATGGCTGTTATGGGAAGGCCATTCTAAAACCTTAATTCTAGCCTGGTTTAGCCATTCCTTTACCACTTTTGATGTGTGTTTTGGG